GACACACACACAGACACACATGCAGAGAGACACACACAGACACACATGCAGAGAGACACACACACAGACACACATGCAGAGAGACACAGACACACATGCAGAGAGACACAGACACACATGCAGAGAGACACACACAGACACACATGCAGAGAGACACACACACAGACACACATGCAGAGAGACACACACACAGACACACATGCAGAGAGACACACACAGACACACATGCAGAGAGACACACACACAGACACACATGCACAGAGACACAGACACACATGCAGAGAGACACAGACACACATGCAGAGAGACACACACACAGACACACATGCAGAGAGACACACACACAGACACACATGCAGAGAGACACAGACAAACATGCAGAGAGACACAGACACACATGCAGAGAGACACACACACAGACACACATGCAGAGAGACACACACACAGACACACATGCAGAGAGACACACACACAGACACACATGCAGAGAGACACACACAGATACACATGCAGAGAGACACACACACAGACACACATGCAGAGAGACACAACAACAACCGCCATTCGCCACGAAGTGGCGGTGACGTCACCACAACGCCTGTGCCAGATCACGTGCACCCTGAGGCCACATGAAGTGTCGAATGCCCGCTGGCAGGAGATCACGGGGCAGACCCAGGTGCCGCCGGTCGACTGACTGAGATGACTGGCTGATGCACCACCTGTCCCCCCTACTGTGCCAACCTGCTGTGCTTTAGCCACCCGGCGCTCCGCTCGTTGTTGTGAGCATCGCTCCTCCGCCCTCCGTTGTTGTTGGAGCGCGACTACCTCCAACTGCCCAGTAGCGTCCTTCACGAGCCTCCTCCACAGAGGCCGATCTTGACATCGCTGGTACCAGTCATCGGCAAGTCCACTCAGCTCCACGTCCTCCTGTACCACATCACTCCATCTCTTCTCTAGCCCGTGCTGCGCCCGTTTAGCCCCCTCAATCCGGCCGAACAAAAGCTGTTTCGGCATGCGGTGGCTGGGCATGCGGGCGACATGACCCAGCCAACGCAGCCTTGCCTGCCGCAGGAGCTCACCGATGGGACCTTGCCCAGATCTTTCAAGGATTTGTGAGCTCCTCACAATCCAGTCTGGTTAAACCCAGGATGGATCGTAGGCAGGCCAGCCTAAATGTTTCTAACCGACGAAGATGTTCCATTACGGGTGTCCACGTTTCGCAAGTGTAGAAGAAGTGAGGGATTGGCCGTGGCCGAGAAGACCTGAAGCTTAATGCGGAGTGACAGACCAGGTAGCTTCCAAACAGCGTTACGCAACCGATGGAAAGATATTGCCGCTCGACTGATTCGGAGTGAGACCTCTGCTGTTAAACTGGAGCCGGTCATAAGCACACTGCCCAGGTATGGGAAACTCTCCACTCTGTCCACAACTGCCCCATCACCGATTGGGAGTTGTGGGGGTGGAGTGTCCGATGGTACAAAATACCCAGGCAGGTGCTTAGTTTTGGTGGGGCTGATGGTAAGGCCCCATCTCTTAGTGGCACGCTCCAGTCTCAGCAGCAGTGTCTCCAACTCCTCCTCTGAATGAGCAGCTATTACCAAATCATCAGCATACATAACGTGGTTGAGCAATAGGGAGCCATCCCTTGACCGCACCCGGGCATCGATCAGCCTCCCATTAAATCTGTACCATATGGAGATTCCCCCGGTACAGCTATTGAAGGCTTCACGAACTACGTGGTCGAAATAGATGTTAAATAATGTGGGAGCCAGAGGACATCCCTGGCGCTCCCCAAGGTGTACAGGGAATGGCTCGGACTCCCGGCCATGTAGTTTTACCCGGGGCCGCTCACCATCATGAAGGTCCTTAATGATCGTGAACAGAGGGTCAGGTACGCCAAAAGCACGAATAACAACCCAGAGCCCAGGCCTACTGATGGTATCATAGGCCTTGACCAGGTCAATAAAGCAGAGATGTAAGTCTTGCTGGAATTCCATACACATCTGCTGTAGCAGACGGACAGAAAATATGGCATCTGTGCAGGACCGCCATTTCCTGAAACCGCATTGGGGCTCCGCAAGCCTCTCCTCAGCGTGCCTGGCAAGGCGATGTTGAATAATCCTTGCCAGGACCTTTCCCGGCACACTGAGGAGCGAGATGCCCCTGTAGTTGTTACAGTCTTTGCGGTCTCCCTTTTTAAAGAGGACATCCTTCCAATCCTGCGGAACCCGTTCAGTGGTCCCGACTGTTGTTATGATGTCATATAGGGCTGGCTGTGCACAAACGCCACCCTCCATCAGCACTTCGCTTGGGAGATCATCTCTGCCCGCTGCCTTTCCTGGTCTCAGACTCTGGATCGCCTTCAGTACTTGCTCAACAGATGGCACTTCAGCCAGCCACTCACAGGGGGTGACTTCTTCCAATATTTGAGGCACCGCAGCCTCAGCAGGGTCATCCTCACTTTGTGCCACGATGTTTTCCTGGCTGAGGGATTTTCCCTCCCCCAGGACCTCACAGAAATGCTCAGCAAATCTGCAAACCTGTTCCTGGGGGTCGGAGATTGGATCACCGTTTTTCCCCTAATGGTGGTAATAGGTGTGGCGCTGGAGGTTACTTTTTTGATGGAGTTAAATAGAGATTTGTGATCGCGGGCCACTGCGGCAGACTCCATCTCCTCAGCAACCTGCGACCACCACCCATCCTTGCAGCGCCTCACGGCTCTCCGAACCTCCGAGCGAAGGCTGTGATAAGCCTCCTCATTCTCTGACGTGGGATTCTGTAGCCTATGACAGTGGGCCTGTCGCTTTTTCTCAGCCAGCCTGAACACCTCCTCTGTCAGCCAAGGTCTGGGGAGGTCTGGACCGCATACCCAAAGCAACCATTGCAGCTGCATGAGTCACAGTCCTAAACCTCGCCCATTTACCCTCGACATCAGGCGGAGTGGGGAACGATGCCAACCCCAGCCGCAGGCGATGATGAAATTCTCGCTTGCAACTTTCATCAGATAACTGAAACCAGGCCACTTATGGTTGGAATGGGGTCCTGGGTGTACACCCACCACCGGAGAGGAAGAATGGCAGGCGCATCTTGCAGATGACAAGTCGATGGTCAGAGGGCAGGTCAGCTCCACGGTAGGTCCTGGTGTCAAGGACATGGGCTCGCATCCGCTGGTCCGTCACTATGTAGTCCAGCAGATGTTCTTGCTTGGACCCGGCATGCATCCATGATGTTGTGTGGATGCGCCGATGCCGGAACAGCATGTTGGTAATTACAAGCCCATGTGCTGCACAAAAATCTAGCAGCCTCCTACCGTTGTTATTGAGCTGATCCGGCCCATGCCCTCCAATCACTCCAGACCAACTCGGGCATTGAAGTCACCCAACAAGATGACTCTATCCCGAGGGGCCACTTTAGCCAGCACCTGTGACAGGAGGTCATAGAAGGCATCTGACTCATCGGCTTTGCCTGCATCCCTCCACGGATGTTCGTCTTCGGTGGAGGCATAAGTAACCACGACCACCAATCCTCGCCTCCGATTGATGGGAAGGCGAGCCCAAAGTAGCCTGGGGCTTACAGCTTCCCACACCTCACCGCCACGCTCCCACACACACACAAACACACACAGACACACATGCAGAGAGACAAACACACAGACGCACATGGAGAGAGACACACACACAGACACACATTCAGAGAGACACACAACAACAACAACCGCCATTCGCCACTAAGTGGCGGTGACGTCACCACGACGCTTGTGCCAGGCTATGTGCACCCTGAGGCCACGTGAAGTGTCGAACGCCCGCTGGCAGGAGGTCACGGGGCAGACCCAGGTGCCACGGGTCGACTGACTGAGATGACTGGCTGATGCACCACCTGTGCCCCCTACTGTGCCAACCTGCTGTGCTTTAGCCACCCGGCGCTCCGCTCGCTGTTGTGAGCGTCGCTCCTCCGCCCTCCGTTGTTGTTGGAGGGCGACTGCCTCCAACTGCCCAGTAGCATCCTTCACGAGCCTCCTCCACAGAGGCCGATCTTGACACCGCTGGTACCAGTCATCGGCAAGTCCACTCAGCTCCACGTCCTCCTGTACCACATCACTCCATCTCTTCTCTAGCCCGTGCCGCGCCCGCTTAGCCCCCTCAATCCGGCCAAACAAAAGCTGTTTCGGCATGCGGTGGCTGGGCATGCGGGCTACATGACCCAGCCATCGCAGCCTTGCCTGCCGGAGGAGCTCACCGATGGGACCCTGCCCAGATCTTTCAAGGATTTGTGAGCTCCTCACACAATCCAGTCTGGTTAAACCCAGGATGGATCGTAGGCAGGCCAGCCTAAATGTTTCTAACCGGCGAAGATGTTCCATTAGGGGGGTCCACGTTTCGCAAGCGTAGAGAAGGGAGGGAATGACCGTGGCCGAGAAGACCTGAAGCTTAGTGCGGAGCGACAGACCAGGTAGCTTCCACACAGCGTTACGCAACCGATGAAAAGATATTGCCGCTCGACTGATTCGGAGTGAGACCTCTGCTGTTAAACTGGAGCCAGTCATAAGCACACTGCCATATTTCAGTTTAATTCGTAGTTTCGTGGTAATGAATTGAAGGTGGAGGGGTTACCAGCCCCTCGCACCCGTCCAGAGAGACACACACACAGACACACACAGACACAAATGCAGAGAGACACACACGCAGACCCACATGCAGAGAGACACACACACAGACACACATGCAGAGAGACACGTGTTGTTTCCGTGTCTGTTTTTTATCATTCATTCTTACCTGATGATGGCTGCTTGCGTAGGAACCGAAACGTCGTATTATTTTCTACGTGACTTTACCGAAAGAACCAAAGAGTAATCACTGTGACTTCTTGCGTATGTCACGGTCGGTCGGTGTTGGTTTTTTTTCTGCTGATGAAACCCGATTTGAGGGCGAATTGACTCACGGGGAAATTCAAAATAATCTCAAAACTGAGCGTGCGCGCGAGAACATTTCAATGGCGCTTACTGATCCCGGCAGAGTCGCACGCTTTTCTGCAGCGAGATCTTGAGCACCTTGGTCTTCACGTCCATCTTCTCGTCGGCGATCGCCCTCAGGAACTTGTCCATCTCTGCAGGAAATCAACGCGAAGGAGCGCCGTGAGCCACCCTCCCACCCCACACACACACACAAAAGATCCCCCGTGTAGCCTTAACAGATTGCAGGGGCAAGTGCTGTTAGCGAGCACCTATGAAGGCCGGAACGGCACATGATGGGGCGGGTGGCCAGCACCACGCCCGGCCGCCTTTGTATCCCCAGTGGCGATGCTTACACACTGCACCCGGTACTCGTTTGAGGCTGAGTCGACCCAGGGGTGGCCCAGGACCGGTTCAGATAATCGTCACTGATTTTGACCGTGAGCAGGAATCGCCAGGTTTGGAGCGCTAACCGCTACACCACCGCTCCCCATCCACTACGCACACGCACGAGCGCCGACTTCTAGCGGAATCGCCGAGGCGTTTCCGTCAAAGACGTGCCCACGACACCCGTGGCCTCGGCGTTTCGTTCGCTGCGAGGCTCCTGCCCGTGATGGGCCTCGAAGTGCCCCGATGACGAACGGGTCAGGGGCAATGCTGGCCGTTGAACCGCCGTTTGGAAAAGATCGCTCAAGTGGGTTTTTAGCAGGTAAGATAACAAATTAATGATGTCGTTTTATTTGTTTTTAGTTTTTAAGCGATTTGTTGACCCCGCCTATACTTTGCGCTCCCATCGAGTGTTTGTGTTGTTTTGCTGATGGAACGTTCAGACCCGCCCCTACTGGACATCTGTCGAGAAGAGCTTTATAGTTTATCGGATTTCTCCAGTATGAATACAACTTCTGATTATTAAGCAGGAGATTGGTGCTGGGTGCAATCATATTAGCCAACGAGATGTCTAGCTTTGAAGCTTCACCACCCGTGTATCGATAGTTCAATGTTAACGTGGATCATTATTGAAGGGAGTACTGTGTGTGTTGTCGTCTTCGTGTCGTCTGGGACTGTTGTTTTGCTGCCTTGCCCAAGCTTGCATTGAGCATTGAAAAATCGGTAGGAATATGATGAATTTATGGAAGTTGTACCTTTACACGTTATTGATTCATAATTAAGGTTTTTTTTGGGTTAGATGGTAACATCCGGCAAATCTCCCGATGATGCTGGTTGTAATTATCAGCGAAACGTCGTACAACTCAAATTGTAAATGTTGTGGTTTTACTCTCCGGCACACCGGTGGGCTAAAGTAGTAACTCATTGACGCGCTTTTGTTCACGTGACAAACCTTGCTGGCTGTGTCGGGTGGTGGAGGGTTACGACACATTTATACTTACGCGATCGAACCCAAACACCTTTTATTATGAAGAATTTTGGTCGCGAAAGCCGACGCGTTAGACATGTTATCAATTTTTTTTTCTTTTGTAATTTTTCCTAACACATTTAGCTTTTCTCTATTTTACGCGCATATCTTTTTCCTTGTATCGTTTGTTGTTGCAACTCGCTGACCCGCCCCCCTACTGGACATCCTGTAAACAAAACAAACCCTTAATAGTCTCATTAAAGATAATCTATCATCAGCCATGATCAATCTACTGCTAGACGAAAGCCCCCCCCTCCACCCCCATGCCATCGCCTTCCCCCCCCCCCCCCTTTGTAGCTCTGCCAATGGAGCAACCCACCGAGGAGGAGATGGAATAAACGGGCATCCGCTCGCGCGTGCCTCCGATTATTTGCATTGCTCCAGCAGCATGCACTCAAGCTCCACAATCCCTTACGACGTTGGCTCGCTGGTCTCACCGCAGCCTCCCCAACCCCACCCAGAATTTGAATGCCCCACAGCGGCTGTGAGCGCTGTGGGACCGTCCATGAATGACGTCACGCGATTTTTGGTTGATTTTTTGACCCCCCCTCTCCACCCTCGTCACACGGCGTCACAAAAAGTCAGACCGCCCCCCCCCCTCAAATATGACGTCACAAAGCTTTGCCCCTCCCAAAAAAACACATTTCCATTTGGAAAAGAAAACACGCTTCAGATAGCTTTAAACTATTGTCATTGTAGTGAGTATTTAATGTGGCGCTGCACTCTGATGTTGTAGGAGGAAACATTTATTTAAAAAAAATATTTAATTAAGTAGAACGTGTCGTCTATATTTATTTAAAAGTTGCGCATTTTGATGTGACGTCACATTTCTCACCCCCCCCTCCGCGCCATCGTCACACATCGTCACAAATGTCTGACCCCCCCCCCACCCCCCCACTAGGTGCCCCTAGAGAATCTGCCCCTGTGTGGAAGCAGCACCGGCAGATTCTGTAGGGGCATTTCATTTAAAACTATTAAAAACATCATCATCATCATTAGACCTCCTTTGCCAGTACCAAAATATAATAATGGGGGTTTTCCCCTTTTTTCATTATCAGAGTGTTCTTTGTTTGCATTTTGACCACAAGTATTGTGGTTAATGCACACATGAGTCCTAGTAAAAAGGTCTCAGTTTTGTTGCCAGAAAAAAAAGGGAAAACCCCCATTATTATAACACATTCTCCTGCGGAGGGAGCTGGTAGGAACGTTGGGTTGCTCGGTCAATGGCCAGGGTCAACGGCGGCACCACGTGGTGTGTTCCGCACAATATGCCCGACTGTGAGGGCGGGCACAAGCCGGCGTGAGTAGGTTAAACGTTGAGTTTTATAAGGGCACCACGGGGTGACCAGCCCCTCCCCACCCAGCCCCACCCCTCCCTCCCCTCCCCACCCAGCCCCTCCCCAACCTCCCCTCTCCACCCAGCCCCACCCCTCCCATTTTTGGATGCACGACGGACGGACGGACACAATAATCCCCGTGTGGGCTGGTGGTGTAACCAGGAGGTTCCTACACAGTATTACGTTAGTGCTAACGTTAGCACTAACGTTAAAAAGCCGCCACTTTTTAAAAAAATTCTTGTTGTGGTTTTCACACCTGATGATGATGATTGCTTGTGTTGCAGTCGAAACGTCGTGAGAATTTTATTGTTTTATATTTTTATTATTTTATTGTTTCCCTTCTACGTGGTCACTTTACCGAAAGAACCAAGAATATGAATCCCTGCAGTCACGAAGGCTTTAAATCAAAGTGTAACTGCATCCTACTGAGCAGTATTGGTCGCGCTACTCATGACGCTATCGATTGGCTCGCAGACTTAAACTTGGACGTGTGATTTTGCACATACTCGCCCATACGCTAGAGAGAGAGAGAGAGTAGTAGACTCGTTCAAATCATACGCCCAAAACAACGCTGTCTGTTCGTCGCTTGTGAATTCAATCAAAAACAAACATTGTCGTAATTCGGACAGCTGACCGCATTGTATACCCATTCACAGGGCTCCTCTCTCAACTCTAAGAGAGCGGAGCTGCTATAGGGCTGCCTTAGAGTAAGTATACACGGCACTACCGCAAGATTACGCATTATATCACTGTATACTCTACTAGTGTGTACCCTACATTCCCATAATCGTATGAGCAGGTTTAGGACCAAGTAAGGTCGTGGTGGACGTCGCGGGCTGTGACGGAGACGGAGAGACACGGAGACACGAGAGACACGGGGGAAGAAGACACGGGGACAGAGAGCCGCGAAGAGGCTTGAGGGTCGGAGACGGGCGTGTGTGTGTGTGTGTGGTGTTGGTGGTGGTGGTGTTGGTGGTGTACTCTCGCTGCAGACGACTTGCCCTTGATGAGCGCGGCCACGTCTCCCGGGAGGCCCTCGCTGTCCATCTTCGATGCCGGCTGGAGGAAGTGGCTCCTGCAACGCGAACACGCGGAAGCGAGAGAAGGAGGAAGGAGAGGCTCTTGCTTATCAAGTCGCTGCATCTCCCCGCGTCACGGCCGCCACCTCCTGCAGCGTGCAGTCTCGAGGTGCGCATGTGCTGCCCGCATCCTGAAGTTGGGGCCCGCAAACTGCAGCCCCCCCCACCCCCCCCAGCGAGTTTCCGTCACCTGAAGCTTGCGGCTGTAAAATTCCTCGCCTTGCTATACACGTGGGCCCGTGGGTTGTATGCTTGGAGTTTGCGTATCTCTCCCACGTGACTTTTCTTTCGTGTTGCGCGCGGTGCATTGAGCGACACAGCGCGTGGATTTGTAGCGTTTATTTTAATTTGTTCGCCGGTGACTTTGTGTGTTTCATATCGGAATCGCCTCAAGTGCTGTTGCTGCTGGCGGCAATAAAAGTGGTTTAAAAGTCAAAAAGTATCTTTCTCTCTTTCTCCGTGGTCGTGTGCATTTTTCGCCGGCTCCTCATTTAGAATGTCCACATGATGATGAGCCAACTTCGGTGAGCTGTAATTTGTGGCCGGGTAGCTTCTGACAAAGAGCTACATAGCTCCGTGGGTCTTACCTGGTAAAATAAAAAAGAATAGTTTAGTTTCAAACCTGGAGTGTGAATCCTGAAGCTGTATATTGCCTGCGACTTGAGCCTGGGGCTGTAGACTGGGGCATGGAGCTGTAGACTGGAGCCTGGGGCTGTAGACTGGGGCATGGAGCTGTAGACTGGAGCCTGGGGCTGTAGACTGGAGCCTGGGGCTGTAGACTGGCGCCTGGAGCTGTAAACTGGAGCCTGGAGCTGTAGACTGGAGCCTGGGGCTGTAGACTGGAGCCTGGGGCTGTAGGCTGGAGCCTGGGGCTGTAGACTGGAGCCTGGGGCTGTAAACTGGAGCCTGGAGCTGTAGACTGGAGCCTGGGGCTGTAGGCTGGAGCCTGGGGCTGTAGACTGGAGCCTGGGGCTGTAGGCTGGAGCCTGGGGCTGTAGGCTGGAGCCTGGAGCTGTAGACTGGAGCCTGGAGCTGTAGACTGGAGCCTGGGGCTGTAGGCTGGAGCATGGGGCTGTAGGCTGGAGCCTGCACATGTAGTGTGCCTGACCTTCTTGCTGTGCGTGTGCGCCGTGCTTAGAGTTCACGTGGCTACCAGCCCGGGCCACTGACCACCACCGCTGCTCGCTCTGACCACAGGTACCTCGCGGGAAATCATTACACTCAGCACAAGCATTATCGTTTCGGAGTATTCCTTTATGCACGTCGGTGTACTCGCGCGCCTATTAACGTCCTCGTGCCAATGCACGGTATAATGTGTCCGGGAATAGCCTCGCCGAGTCCCAAGGCTCACTCTCGAGAGTGAGTGCGGTCCTGCGTTTTGTGATGGTTGTCCATTTCCTTAGCGAGTGAGCCACGTGTTTGTTTTTGTTTAGGCCGCATTTTCGGAAGGAGCCAACTTTTTTCCGAGAAGACATCATCGGTGTGAGCGCAGCCACACGTTGTTGGTGTTTGACAGCAGCACGATGATGATGATGGAGTGGAGGAGGGGGGTGTTTCCACACGTCGGGCACGCCAGTGGCCCCCGGGTCTTGCAATGCAGTGCACTGCGTTAGGCCATCACGCGGTAGTTCTTTGATTTGACGTCCAACATTCTCGTAATTAATATCTCCACGATATCAACAATGAACATTGTAAGTGTCCTTGTTGATGAGTCGTTTTTTTTAATTTGTTTTGGGGGTTGGGGGGGGGGGTGTGGCTGAAGGTCTCTTCTTGAGAGTTCACCTGGTGCAACAGAAAACAACTTTAAACTTGGGGAAGCGAAATAAAAAACACCCAGAGGAAACCAACACCGCAATATCCCCTCCCTCCTCCACTGCCCCCCTCCCAAGACGCAATATAACTCACCGAATGGCATACAGTTGTATTCAATCGTCATGCTACTTTCCTTATCCAGGCTTTACTGGATAAACATATTCATTACATGAGTATTGTCAGTATGATCAGACTATGCGTTAACTGCGTGCTAACCGACTCTCTGTGTTGCATTGCATTACACTTCCTAGCCTGCTTGTTTCTAAGCCAATTCTCTCCTCCGGCCGCTATGGGGGCAGTAATTCCACACAACTCCCCCTCTCTCTCTATTTAAGGCCTCGACACGGAGACGTTGAGTTTCTGTGTGCCTATGTGTGTGTCTCTCTCTGTTTGTCTCCGTGTGAGTCTCTCTCTCTGTTTGTGTGTCTGTCTGTGTGTCTCTGTGTGAGTCTCTCTCTGCTTGTGTGTCTGTCTGTGTCTCTCTGTGTGTGTCTCTCACTGTTTGTGTGTGTCTCTCTCTGTATGTCTCTGTGTGAGTCTCTCTGCTTGTGTGTCTGTCTGTGTGTCTCCCAGTGTGAGTCTCTCTCTGCTTGTGTGTCTGTCTGTGTGTCTCTGTGTGAGTCTCTCCCTGCTTGTGTGCCTGTCTGTGTGTCTCCGTGTCTGTGTTTTGTCTCTCTCTCTCAAATTTAGCAATTTTTGGAAGAACGTAATCAACCAGGTGGGGTGTTGACTGTTGTTTTGGCCGACTCTTTGTGTTCGATTGCATTATATTTCTAAGTTTACTAGGTTTGTTTTCTCATTAATTTGTACCTGATGATGGTTGCTTGTGTTGCAATCGAAATGTCGTATTCTAGCACTATTTAATTTAGTTTCTTTCGATTTGACTTCACCGAAAGAACCAAAGCGCATGATTAACCTGTTACAATATTTATGATAATAATCATATTGTCCTTTATTCACCTAGGAAAGCCTCGGTGCGTCGCTGAGTCTCAAGACTACCTCTCAGGGATGGTCCTGCCACATTGGGATAGTCGACCAATCCCACGTTGGGGAGAAATCGTTGAGTCAGGTGATGATTCATCGTCACCTCACGCGTGGCTGAGTGTAAACAGTCTACAAGGCAAGCGAGAAATCTAGCTCCAGTTCATTCAGCCAGTTGAGGGTAATAATCACACGTTAATACTCACAAGGTATTAATCACAAGGTAGTACTCACAAGGTAGTGCTCACAAGGTAGTGCTCACAAGGTAGTGCTCACAAGGTAGTGCTCACAAGGTAGTGCTCACAAGGTGATATTCACAAGGTAATACTCACAAGGTAGTACTCACAAGGTAGTATTCACAAGGTAGTACTCACAAAGTAATACTCACAAGGTATTACTAATAAGGTATTACTCACAAGGTATTACTCATAAGGTAATACTCACAAGGTAGTACTTACAAGGTAATACTCACAAGGTAGTACTCACAAGGAATTACTCACAAGGTAATACTCACAAGGTAGTACTCACAAGGTATTACTCACAAGGTAGTACTCACAAGGTAGTTCTCACAAGGTAATACTCACAAGGTAATACTCACAAGGTAGTACTCACAAGGTAGTACTCACAATGTAGTACTCACAAGATATTACTCACAAGGTATTACTCATAAGGTAGTACTCACAAGGTATTAATCACAAGGTAGTACTCACAAGGTAATACTCCCAAGGTAATACTCACAAGGTAATACTCACAAGGTATTACTCATAAGGTAATACTCACAAGGTATTACTCATAAGGTAGTACTCACAAGGTAATACTCACAAGGTATATTCACAAGGTAATACTCACAAGGTATTACTCATAAGGTATTACTCACAAGGTAGTACTCACAAGGTAATACTCACAAGGTAATACTCACAAGGTAGTACTTACAAGGTAATACTCACAAGGTAATACTCACAAGGTAGTACTCACAATGTAGTACTCACAAGGTAATACTCACAAGGTAATACTCACAAGGTAATACTCACAAGGTAGTACTTACAAGGTAATACTCACAAGGTAATACTCACAAGGTAGTACTCACAATGTAGTACTCACAAGGTAATACTCACAAGGTAATACTCACAATGTAGTACTCACAAGGTAGTACTTACAAGGTAATACTCACAAGGTAGTACTCACAAGGTATTACTCACAAGGTAATACTCACAAGGTAGTACTCACAATGTAGTACTCACAAGGTATTACTCACAAGGTAATACTCACAAGGTAGTACTCACAAGGTAATACTCACAAGGTAATACTCACAATGTAGTACTCACAAGGTAATACTCACAAGGTAATACTTGCAAAGCGCCACGCACAAATGCATTAAAGATTCAATTGCTGCTCTGCCGTATCTGGGCATCCAACCCCTAAAATGATCAACTCTTGTTGATCTTCCGTGATCTGGCAGATGTGATGAGTTTGATGATTATGGTGGTGGTGATGGTGATCATGATGATGCTGATGGTGATAATTCATCATTCGGTTTGAGCGGGCCGAAGGCGGCTGACCGCATGGCAGCTAAAGGAAAGAAACTCGCTGCCCTACGCCGTGGAGATGGAACCATTAAGAGACCACATTTTGATTTAAAGCTTTCGTGACTGCAGGGATTCATATTCTTGATTCTTTCGGTAAAGTCACGTAGAAGGGAAGCAATAGTAGAATAAAAATATAAAACAATAACATTCTCACGACGTTTCGAGAATTTTATGAATGTAAATTCGTGAGAAGTTTATTGTTTTATATTTTTATTATTTCATTGTTTCCCTTCTACGTGACTTTACCGAAAGAACCAAGAATATACATTAAGAGACCAGTTCATGGGGACGCGGGAAGGGACAAGGCGGGAGGAGACCTTAATCCAGCAGTGGATAGCCAACGACTCACGATGTTGATAGCGACCAGACCGTCACGTGTAGCAGTGGATATCCACGAGCCCATGATGACGAATACCATGATGATTATTCTTTGGGCTTTGTGTCTTTCGGTGAAGTCACGTAGATAGGTTCAAAGAAAATAACAAACAAAAAAACGATCTACGTGACTTTACCGAAAGACCCAAATAATATGAATTCCTGCAGTCACGAAAGCTTTAAGTCACGATGATGATTGTTGTTAAACTATAATCTATTTTATTTTTATTTTACCGGGTAACTATTTTTCAGAAGCGACCTGGCCACAAATGACAGCTCAGCGAAGTGGCTTTATGGCGTGGCAATTTATATAAGCAGGAATATTTCTAAAAGCATTTTGATTCTAAATACGCCTGGAAAAACCGGAGTACCCGGATAAAAATCCACACGACCACGGAAAAAGAGACACATATACAGCAGCAGGCATTAACGTAGGCATCAAACCCTACGACCTCCTGTATACCA